TAGGGTTAGGGTTAGGTTTAGGCACATTGGTTTTATTGGGACCCATGTTCTCTATCCTTGGGCCGTATATCCCCCAGGGTACTACCGGAATGTACCCTGGGTACGGTCCGGTATACCGGAACGTACCCTGGTACCAGAGCATATGAATCAACGTGATTTATATGCTCTGCTGGTAGGCCAACTATCTAATATGCCGGACCGTAGGCGACTCCCTAGACTCGTTAGTGGAGTAGGCAAGGTACGGTCCGGCATATTAGATAGTACCAGCAGAGCATATAAATCACGTTGATTTATATGCTCTGGTACCAGGGTACGTTCCGGTATACCGGACCGTACCCAGGGTACGTTCCGGCAGTACCCTGGGGGTCATATACCCTCTCAGCGTTATTAACAGTTGATGGTTAATTTTGGCTCTATTTTTCAAGAGTCATATTACATTTATTAATAAACAAAGATTACAAAACACATTTGTTCGAGTTCATAACAGTTCATCGTGATGGAAAAAAAATATTGAAAGCTTAAGGTGGCCATTTTGCCGTACTCTCCCCTATTTAAGCACTGAAAATGAACCAACTTGCTTTTTATTACAGCAAATATGAGCAAACGTGTGCGGCTTTAACCTTACAAAGTCGCTTCGGATATCTAAAGTATATTATACACGATCAATATAAGTGACAATAATATTGTCAATAATGAAAATTGACAATATTATTGATCGTTAATGGGTAATATTGAAGGAAAATTTTGACTTGCACAATATTCTGACAGAATCAAAGCCCATGCAATAGATATATATTGAAGGTTGCGCAATTTTATTGTGTCGTTGGTGGTATACATAATCACAATATTGCGCATGCAATATCTCATTCTGAAGTCAGGCAGCAAAGAGTTATCCTTCTATATTAATTTTACACACACTTTGTAAATGTTGAAAAATATGGTAAGTGTACATTTCACCGTGTAGCCACTTAGCCGTTATCTTGGTGCATGCATTTTTTTACGAGGGTCGTCTGATCAATCTGAGACGATTTTGGCACCTAAACAGTTACAATGCCAGTCCCGTATCCAAGGGGGGGGGGTTCCAGGGGTTCCGGAACCCCCCCCAACCATCAGCAAATGAGCCAATTGAACCTATTATCTACTTGTATGTTCATCTGGTTCTATGTATAAACCATCTCTTGGCCCATTTCCTTTTTCTGCGCTGTCACTTGGGCCTATACCAAGTGCAAAAGCCAGCGCAAGGGCAACGCTAGCTAGGATCCATGTCTGTTCACCTTCAGCATCAGAGCACAAATGACGATCATATTTTACAATATTATTATGCCGTTGGTGGCCAACAGAATTCCTTTTCAATAATATTGTACCAATATAATTGTCAATGATATTGAGCGTGTATGGGCCGCTTAATGTAATATCGTTACTGCAATCTCGTTATTATTTACACACATACGCACGCACACGCACACGCACACGCACACGCACACGCATCTACACCCACGCTCACACACACGACGCACACGCACACACACACTCACACGCACACGCACACGCATCCACACTCACACGCACGCGCGCGCACACACACACACACACACACACACACACATACGCACGCACGCACGTACGCACGCACGCACGCACGCACGCACGTACGCACGCACGCAACGCACGCAGCACCGCACACACACACACACACACACACACACACACACACATGAGAGAGAAAGGTGAAGCTAATACACAGCAAAAACTTCCAGTAGCATGCAGTTCAAGTGTGATAAGTATTTTCTCTCTTTCGCTCGGGCTCTCTCTCGTCCTTCTATTGCTGTTTCTCAATCTTTTCTTCTCTCTTTCTTTCTCTTGCAAATTTTTATTATGTGTAATGGCAGACATACGGATAAAGAGAAGTAAATTTATAATTAATATCTGTCACTAATATTCAAAATCGCAATTAAATATAAAGTCGATATAAATACGCCCGGCTTGTGAAGGTTAATGAAGAGTGGGTGCAAATCTTTCACGTGGTATATATACTATATATATATATATACTATATAAATATATATAGGAACAAGTCAAGGTATTAGACATAATAAGTGTTTACTAATTTAATTGACAACTTTCGAGATTACATCTTTTCATCATTGGCCAGCAGACATTGGAATAGAATCAAACTAATCAAAAACAAAATACATTGCGTTGATAGATAATCGAAAAATGAATGATTCAAACAATCGCGCGTTGCCATGAATGCGGACAACGAAAGACACGCACAATAAACTACACACAACACAACACACACACCACACATCACACACACAACACACACACACACACAACCAACGACACGCACGCCGCACGCAGCTGCACGCCGCACGCACAGCACGCAGACACCACGGCAGAATCACAACAACACAACAACACATCACACGCAATTAAATTTAACGTTCATCCCTGGTTTCAAACAACCAACCCTCAGAATTAATTTCTGCTCAGTTAGGTGTCGACGTGAGCTATTGTAATAAGATGTCAGTTGGCAGCCAAAAACACGCGCGTCATCAATGTGGTGATCCGGTTGGTTAAAATGGTCAGTAACCGGAAAACCATGCAACGTCGATGGAAATTAACTACGTTGATTGTGGTGACACACAATGTAGACGTCAGTGTCACCCGCCTCGGCAGGACACCCCGGCACATTCCATCCCAAATTTCCCACAGCGCTTTTAGCTCTATAGTTCCTATAGGCGTAATGATGGAAAGGAAAAACTGTGGGTCCGAACTGTAGGCCTGTTGAAACAGCTTCTCACCAAGCAAGTTTGTCCAGATGGTAGGTTTTGCTCTGTATACAAAAATAGACAGGAGTCGCATGTCCTTCTCTGTTTACAAAATTTAGTACTTTTTGCAATCAGCTCCACCTAAGCGGAAACATTATATATAAGCGTTCGGTTAGTGGGAGAGAGGTAAGTGACCAAGGAAGGTCATGTGGGCCGGCGGATTTGTAGGGCTTTACATGCATACGCGAGAACTAACAGCATAACTCGCAAACTACTGTATTTTTTGTTGCAGTTTTCGGAACAGATTTGGGTTGGGTCAAGCAAACGCTCGTCCTCACTGGAAAATGTATGACACTTGCGACCTTCCGTGTGCTGTATATCTTCACTGCAGAGTTGTATCCGACAGTCGTAACGTGGGCCTATACATATATCAGGGCCATAAACAACTCAGTTTACATAGAGAGCCAAAGCCACGCGCACTTTGAGTTCTGTACAGTTGATCGCGGGCAAATCGTCGTTGTTAATTGCTGCCAACGTCTAAAGAACCACAGCCATTCTGTCCCTCTTCCCCGCTAGATATGGCCCGGCACTCGTAATTTTGTTGACATTATACATCAGCAGTAAATTTGGACAGTAAGACATAAAATCTACATATCTTTCGTTGCCGTTCGTCGGCGCTTGAGTCGGGCAAGGGAATTAGAGTATATATCTATCCAAAAACTCCTTCAAACATGTAATTAATTATCTAGGGTCAAGTGTGTCTTTGAGCATACGAACTATCCGCGAACAGTAATCATACTTGGTTGGAATTGCGTATTTAAAATGGAGAGGAGATCATAGTCAGAAAAAATTGTTTTTGAAAAATGTAAAACTATTTTCTCTCCTATATGATAAGAAGCAAGCCAATATTCGGTTGTGTTGAAGTCGTCGTGTGACTAGTCTAACGCCGAATACTGAGATCTGTGGCTGCCTTAATTTTCCATAGACTAGTAGAATAGGTAAATATTTCTTCCTTAAAATGTTCCTTCCTTTTCTTTCTTAACTGTAACGACCAGGTAAATATTTCTCACCCACAGGAACACGGGGCTGGGCATGTCATCCAGCGCTGCCCGTATAGGTGGCATGATTGCACCAATGACTATTGCGCTGGTAAGCGATTTTTTCTCGGAATTAACAAGACTACGTACGCGCAAGCGATTCAAACAGTAAAAAAGTCCAATGTCCCGCTGTCCGATTCAATGCGAAAATCCTAGCTGCTTGGAACATTTGATTACATATATGATATAGAATATTTTATTTACACAAAGAAACATTTTATCTTCGCAAACAAAGTTGCTTCTCGAACATGAACTTTTACCCGACGCTTCCGTTTTCAGCAACGCCATTACCCGTGGATACAGCCAGTTCTCTTCGTGAGGCATAGCGTTTGTGTGCGCCATTGTGAGCCTCTTCTTTACTGGATATGATCATGAATAAAACAAGATTCCGCAGCCATGTGTTTTTTCTGCGAAAGTGTCTCCACCATCGAATCACTCCGACTGGTTTCTCGCTTCGTTTTCACTAGTCGAATCGTGCATCTTTATCCCAAAGCCGTATTCTGTCTAGTGCATCTCGTCAATTGATCCGGCAATGTCTACGAGAGAATAAACGTAAAATTAAAGACTGTGACGCCGAAATATTTCCTACTCTGCAATCTTTAAAAAGCACTTGTAAATCGGATATGTCGTTTTTCCATCAAATTCGCCGAAGAATCTACTTTGCTAATAGTGATTGGTATGATCATTTGAACAAGAAGAAACATGCCAAACTCGATAAACTTTTATCGTCTAGACAAGAGACTCAAAATCCAAATTATTACAACAAAAAGCTCGTCGTGTGTGTTCCACCTGAACTCCCACTGGAGGAATCTGAGCGTGTCGTCTTAAGTAAAGGTTTGAATTTTGTTCCAATCAAACCTCAAATAGATCAGTACAACACCATGCGAGATGTAGAGAGTTTCTTTCGCCGCCTTCGCCCTAGAGCTTTTTCGAAATCGAACGCTGCTGATGATGAGCTTGTTGACCAGAAATGTGATAATCCTTTCCGCAAGTACAACAAGACCCCTTCTACTTGGACCCCGCAAACAGGTCGCTTCGCAGCTCTAGATTATTACATCTCGAAGAGTCGTCAAGAAGTTTCCAACTACTTCTCATATCCACGCAGAGCTCGATCGTCTAACCTTACTACCACGGAACTTGCAGCGATCCGATCACTTCGGAATTGTCAGGACATCGTAATTAAACCCGCTGATAAAGGGGGAGCCGTTGTTGTATGGAGCCGAGATCTCTACATTCGGGAACGTGATAAACAACTTTCGGATAAAAGAATTTATTCCAAACTTGACAGTGATGTAACTCCTAAAATTCAAATTCATGTCAAAAACATAATTACATCATTGATTAGTAATAACGATCTTCCAAAAAAGGCTTCCAATCTTATTGTTGAAACACCTAAAGCGGCCAGATTTTACATGCTTCCTAAAATACATAAGCCTGATACACCCGGACGTCCTATAGTTTCTAACTGCAGTTTCCCTACTGAACAGATCTCGGCTTTCCTAGAAGACTTGCTTTCAGCTATGGTACACTCACTACCAACATACGTCAAAGATACGCCTCATGCTCTAGCCATATTTGCGAATTTTTGTTTTAACAATGATCCAGATAAATTCATATTCACACTGAACATAAAATCTTTATATACTGTGATACCTAATAATCAGGGTTTAATCGCTTTACGGTATTTTTTAAGCAAGCGGTCTGATAATTTTCCTAATACTGATACCTGATACGTTTAGCCGAACTCGTTTTAACCAAAACGTGTTTTACTTTCAATGGGAATTTTTATTCTCAATGTAATGGCGTGGCTATGGGTACGAAGATGGGCCCTAGCTATGCGTGTCTATTTGTCGGCTACATTGAATCGAAAATGTTCGTGTCCTTCACTGGACCCAAACCGAGCCTTTATCTTCGGTATATTGATGATGTTTTTGGAGCCGCATCTATGAAACTTTCTGATTTGCAAAATTTCATCGACCATGTCACATCTTTCCACCCGTGTCTAAATTATACATACGCTACATCATCTGATAGACTTCCTTTTCTGGACATGGTTGCTATTATCGCTGGTAGAAACTTAGTTACCTCGGTGTTTTCTAAACCTACTGACACCCATTCTTATCTAATGTATTCGTCGTCTCACCCTCGCCACACTAAGAATAGCCTAGCCCCCGCATTCTCAATTGTTACGGTTAAAAAAAATATGCAGCTCACAAACTGATTTTCATACAAAAGCTTCCAACATGATTGAATGTTTCACACGCCGCGGCTATGATCAATCTGATCTATCTAAGAAATTAAAAAAGATATAATCGGGCGTCGTTAATAACCCCTAGAAAAGACGGCGCGAATAAAACGTCAGACAGATGTCCATTGTTTTTAACCTATCACCCTTTAATCCTACACATCAAAAGTTTGTTAATTGATAATTATAAAATTCTCCAAAACGATTCAATCACAGCTAACATATTTTCAAACCCGCCTCGTACAGACGTGATACTAACCTCCGCGACACTCTTGTTTCAAGTACCGTTTACGGCTCTGACAACCCCGTGAGCCAACCTGGCTCATACCCGTGTTGTCAGAAACGTTGCAGTACTTGCAATTTTATCACGAATAAGTCTGTGGTTCAAGGGCCTCTGGGCAAATATATAGTGCGGGATTCCTTTACATGCGTGTCTACGAACCTCATTTACGCCATTGAATGCGTAAAATGCAAAATTTTGATATAAATGCAAAATGCATAAAAAAAAACCCCGCCTTGCGGATAGGTTTGTTGAACACCTAAGATCTATTTGCCTCAATTTGCATGGTTTTCCGGTTGCTGACCGGATCACCACATTGATGACGCGCGTGTTTGTGGCTGCCAACTGACATCTTATTCTTATTACAATAGCTCACGTCGACACATGACTGAGCAGAAATTAATTATGAGGGTTGGTTGTTTGAAACCAGGGGGCATGAACGTTAAATTTAATTACGTGTGATGTGTTGTGTGTGTATGTGTGTGTGTGTGTGTGTGTGCGTGCGTGCGTGCGTGCGCGCGTGTGTGCGTGTGTATATGTGCGTGTTCTTTCGTTGTCCGTATTCATGGCAACGCGAGAACTGTTTGACTCATTTATTTTCGATTATCTATAACGCATTGTATTTGTTTTTGATTATTTGATTCTATTCCAATGTCTGCTGGCCTGATGAAGAGATGTAATCTCGAAAGCTTGTCAATTAAATTTTAAACACCCTTATTCTATACCTTGACTTTGTTTTTATCTACACGGGTGTTCGTGTGTGACTTTACTTCTATATATATATATATATATATATATATATATATATCGCATTGTTTATATTCTAAAGCATAATTGTATCGTTTATATCTCGGATATCTTCGAATCCTTCATTTTATTTTATTTTTTGAATATTCTAATTCATAATGTTCTTAATGTTATTCTGAGTTATCTAAGTAACAACAGAAACACATTTCTATTTAATATTACGCACGCACGCACGCACGGACACACGCAAACACACTTGACGGTTGGTACATCGCGCGAGTTTTGAGCGAGCTTTGCTGAGCAAGTTTTGAGCAAGATTTTTAGGTGGAAATGAATGAAAAACAGAGAACATACACTGCGAGATCGCGGCCGGTTAAATTAATAGAGATTTCCGGATAACGGATGGACGGATAAAGGAAGTCGGACAGTATATATATATATATACATGTGAGAAAGGGGATGCTAATAAACAGCAGAAAACTTCCTGTACCAAAGGAGCAAAAAATATTTAGTGAATAAATATTTAGAGAACGGATTTCTTGATTTCAGTTTAAGTAAGTCTTCTGTCTATCACTTCCGCTTTCTCTCGCTCTCCCCTCGCTGCCTCTCCATCTCTTCTTCTCTCTTTCTCCCTTTTGGTGATTTTTCATGCATAATGGCAGACATACGATAAATAGAAGTAAACTTATAATTAATATTCTTAAGTTTTATTTAACCATTTACATGTAACACTCCTTATAGCCAGAACACTGCCACCCGCACTATAACTGGAGCATATAAAACGTGAAATCACTCTCCGATATTTATAATATTTCATAGATCACCATAGAGGTAATTTCTATGTCATATCAATCCAGCCCCATGATTCGATTTTCCTTTATTATATAAGGCGACAGAAATAACAAATATGGCTTCTCACTATATTCAAAATCGCAATTAAATAAAAAGCGGCTATAAAATGCGCCCGACTTGTCGAAGGTATAATGTAAAGGTGGGGTGCAATCTTCCACTGTGGATATATATATATCGCATTGTTGATATTCTAAAGCATATTTGTATCGTTTTATATCTCGGATATTTGTTTTTGGTCAACTTTCAGAGACGACACACGTCTATTAAGATTTTGAGCAGTGGGATGGTGTTCAATCTCCTTCTAAGGAGATGTCTTCCCCTCAAGGCCGTACGCAGCAGGGGGGCAGCAGGGGCAGTTGCCCCCCTAGAGATTTTCAGAGTATGCCTTTTAATGGGACAAATAGGGCAATAGAGGGCGTGGGGAGTACCTTTGCCCCCCCTACAGAAAATTTCCTGCGTATTTGCCCCCCTACAGAAAATTCCCTGCGTACGGCCTTGCTTCCCCTCCGTCCTCCTGTAGTTTACCTTCTGAAAACGAGGGGCGCTACCGATGCACATACACACTGTAGCTGCATTCCACATCAAGCAAGTAATTAGCAGAAACTCGCACACTTGCGAAAACTGCAAGCTGGGGGATGAGCTGTTTCTCAGACAGTATGAAACTTTATGGTGTTTGCACCATAAAATCCGCCCGAACAGATTCAGTTGTGACTCCAGTTTATTATTTTTAACTCCATGATCCAGCCAAGAGCTTTTGCAGCAGTGCGGAGGAATAGGGGCTCAACCCCTACGCTCTCTGGAGAAATCCCCTTGGATAACAACAACGCTATATCTGGAATATATTACGCGCGAGGGAAACACAAGCTATATCGTCACACTCACAGCTTGTTGTGCAGAAAGCTCGAGATACCAATACAACATACATGGTATTCTAAGACACCGTTTGTGCTCGCCTGCTTGTTTTATTACGTCGAAACTATGTCTGTATCTTCCTAGACTTTGCTCTACAATAAAATGTTCGAGTAGGCAATTTTTGCAATAACTGTACGAGCAGTGCGCCAACTTTGTTTGGATTTCAGACGAATTTTGGTGCAACGATGGTGGAACTGCCGAGAGTGCATATAGTGGATTACACTGCGTGACTAACACTGAGTGACGCCGGCATTGCTACACATATTTACAGACTTATTAATCAAATGCTCGGTACATTGCAGATTAGTCGCATACGAAATCATACTGTAAAGCACAAAGCGCTCACATTCACCCTTGTATTTACGCAACATTTCCGCTAACCATTTTATAATTAGATCGGCTATTGCTTACTAGGATGCAGTCCCCCATCAACTTGGCCCTCTTATATCATGTGAGTGCTGCACACACACAAAAATCGGTTAAATTATCAAGCAAAATCATCGAGCATCAAGAGTACCGGACGTACTAGCCACAGTCGTTTGGCACGTGGCATTAAAACGCAGACGAGTGCCATTGCTTGGGCGAGCTGACAATAACACGTACATACAGACAACGGAGCCATTGCCTGCGAACAAGTAAACAAGCTTTACTTATGAAGAGCATCTTTCGTTTCATCGTGCAGCAAGTGACCTTTACAGAAACCTAGGAAAACCCAACCATTATAATTTATTACGCCCTATTTCGGACCACAGCCCGTTATAAGCCAATGTGAATTCATGTGCACAGGGTCACACAACACGCACTAGCACCGACAGAATCTAGGCAGCGGCACGTTGGAAAGCCCAGTGCGTGTGATTGGATTCCTCGCTCTACAGTGAGTGGTAGCTTGCATTTTCAAGCAGACATCACATTTACAGAACATTCACTAGGCACCCGTAGTCGTGAGAGCATCCATCTTTAACATATACTAATATGAAGGCAGGCATATGTCCATCTAACTTTAAGTGGTTAACTCAAGGATTGGCAGACCCATTTCTGGCAATGCCCGTTCACGTCACTGTGGATTCTAGTGAGGATGCCAGTTTCCGATTTGCAACAGAACGGAAACTACAACTTCTGATTCGGTTTTGAATGGACAAGACCTTCAGATTGTGATCACTAAATGGATTTCAATAATAATTAAATTCCATGCACACTGTTGTAGAAACTCGACGTAGAGTCATCATCACAAATAGATCCCGTAAATTTCATACTCCAATCAAAAAATACAAGTTAGAAAACAAAGTCCCTGCACACAGAATCCCCCAGATGGTAGCTGTAAAAGTACACATTTCGTTTTTACTATACGTTACAAGATGAAGTCTCCATTCCTGCTGCCAGCACACACAGTTTCCAGCCGTACTACCACCTATCAGGTATTCTACCCTTCCCAACCATCATAAGGCTATCCACCTCAAATACACCCGCATACATCTTTCCATGCTCGCGCGTACGTTCTGCGTAATTGATTTGCCAAAAATATTCAACTAAAAAAATCACATCACAAAATGTTCTTTTTACAAACTGTTCATCATTGATACGTTACCTAGTGTGCGACTCCCATCACTCGTGCAACCGCCTGCTACATCGTGCATTACACCACCGCCTGCACCGTGCCGTCGCCACCGCCATTCTTGTACGCAATAACGTTAATCGATACTTAATGCGTGATATATAATAACTGGTTAATATGCGGAGCGTCGAGCGTCAACATGCTGAGAGTGTGACCGGCGCTACCGACCACCGACAAGGATTAGCAGAACACTGTGTGAACTCACGCACGTAGTTTACCGGCGACTAACCATCGCAGCGATTCCCTATAGAGTTACGTGACAACGAGAAGCCGTGTCCGCGTGGATGCCTACCGAAGGAAATCATAGGCGCAAGCCCTAAATGCGGCCACATTTCATTCGATCAGCAGCAGCAGCAGTAACTGGGAGTAATGACAGATCAGAGCGCAGCAGCAGTTGATTCGATCATCGTCAGCAGCAGCTCGGTGTTACAATAGATCCGATGAAGCCTCGAACCTGCGCTAGTACACCATATATGGTGGCGGCATTCCTGCAGACGAGTTTTCTTCGCCCGCCGCCGCCTGTCCGCCGTTGTTCATCCCGTTTCCATTGGACGCCGCATCACTCGTGTGCGACGTTCCATTTCCTAACTGCTGCCCGTAGAATCTCTCCTGCTCCTCTTTCTGCTTCACAAATTCTTCTTCAAGGTTCTGTTGAGCAAAAAAGAAGAGAATAACTCATAAACTGACATTGTGTAAAAGGCCGAGCATTAAGAACTGTTTCTCGGTACATAGTTGCAGGTACGCAGAATGTGCTAACAAGGGGTAAACATAGTCAGGACAGTCCATGTTTATTTTTCACTGTTGATCTTGACATACACACGCACACACGCACACACGCACGCACACATACGCACGCACACACACACACCACTCTGACTCGCACGCATGCACACACGCACGCACGCACACACACCACTCTGACTCGCACGCATGCACACACGCACGCACGCACACACACCACTCTGACTCGCACGCATGCACACACGCACGCACGCATACACACCACTCTCGACTCACACGCATGCACACACGCACACACACACCACTCACACGCATGCACACACGCTCGCACACACGCACACACCACGCACGCACGCACGCACGCACACGCACACGCACACGCACACGCACACACACGCACACGCACGCGCACACCAACACACATGCACACACGCACACGCACACTCACACGCACGCACGCACACTCCCGCACGCACGCACGCACGCACGCACGCACGCACGCACGCACGCACGCACGCACACACACACACACACCTGCTTCCTCGGTTTCAGCTGTATGCGCCAGTCGTTGAGCTCCTGCTGGTAGATGGCGTCGCGCTCCCGCAGCTTCGTCGTCTCGTGCTCGGTGATCATCTTGCGCTTCTCGTTCTGCAGCTGCTCGAGTTCCTTCAGCGCCATCTCGGCATTTGCCCGCAGCGCCTCCAGCTGGCGCCGTTGCTTGTGCTGCTGTTTGACGAGGTCACCCTTGTAGCGCTTCTTCTCCAGTTCCTCAAACTGCGACGGAGAGAGGAAGGCGGAGGGAGGTTAGCGTTCAGTGGGGAGGTGAGAGTGCACCTGCGCAGACAGGCATACACGGACACACGTATGCACGCACATGTGAGTATACACGTGCATACATGCATGCACGTGAGAACACACACATACAAAATACTTACACGTGCACGCACACACGCACGTATGCACTCACATGTGAGTATACACGCACACACACGTGAGAACAAACGCGCATGCACGCACGCACGCACGCACGCACGCACGCACGCACGCACGCACGCACACACGAACGCAAAACACTTACATGCAAGCAATAATCTCACTATGTTGGCTCACATAATAAACGACGAAATACGATCATGGGATTTTCTGTTATTACAATACAGTTCTGACTACTTTTCCCCCAGCATTTGTCACGACAGTGCTGCCGTGCAGCCACGCGCGCACAAGACGACTGCTCACGTGTTTGATTTTTGCTCGGTCGATGTCCGGATTCGCGCCCTGGTTGCTGATGCGCAGACTCTCCTTAAACATGAGCGAGCGGACCTTCATCTCCTGCCGCTGCCTCTTCGGGAGCGTCTTCTTCTCGACCACATGCCTCCTCAGCACCTCCTCCTCCTTCTGTTGGTTCAGTCTACGCACCTGCTCCAGTTCCTAATTAAGAACGAGGTGTAAATAAATACTCCTAACAAGTGCCGCGGAGCGACAGCAGCTCATACATAACGTCTACTGCGGTAGACTCTGTGGTGGAGGGGGTGGGAATACTAGTAAACCCTGGTTCAGTCCCAAATTGTGCTTCAACATACACGCTTGAACACAGATGGGATGCCACAGGCCCGATGGTAACGGAATCCTTCTCAAAGAATGTTCGTTTGGGCATCGTTATGAAAGTGCACGAGATGGCGCGTACGTTTAAGTTGCTCTTCAATTAAAGATGGAAGCTCCCATCGTACGTAGTAGAAAAAACAAACTAATTTGCAAGAACAGAATAGGTACAGCCACTCATCCATTTACCTACGCAAAGCCTATAGGCGCATGCCATACCTCAGCTCTACTGACCAACGATCAGCTGCCCCACCCTGTAACCATCCCATTAGCGCCCAGCGCAAAACACTACCCCCCTTCTCATGCTACCACCGCACCAGCGCCGTCCCCACAATCCGTGGCCCCCGCTCATCTCATCCCTCCTCTCTCCCCGCCCTCTGGCGACACCCCCTTACCCACGTCACTCGCCTCGGTCCCTCTTTACTCTTCATAACTCACTCCTTTGGGGACCGCCGCGATACTGCAATTTCATTAGCGAGTTACCACTAACAAAGCACTGCCGTATCGCACAGCGACGAGGTACCATAGATTTTTTATCTCAAAAAGACGTTCGCAAACTTTTTTCTGTTGCTGTGGGCGAAATAACCAAAAATTCCGATGAAAATCGGTGAAGCAAGTCCAAGAAATTAACCCAATAACATCGAGCGACGCGCCATTTTGCACATACGAGCGACGAGATAGTGTGGCAAACCAGCGCTTCCTGTAATAAATTTATTGCCGAATATCCCACCATTGACACACAAGAAATGATGCCAGGCTCTACACCCACTGGCTACAGCCGAAGTTGGAATCTCGTACCTAGAGTACATTGCGCTGAACGCTAATAGCGTTAGCATCACTGATATGTTTATATATATAGATCAGCCGCATGATCTATCATAAAAATTAGCGCCAGTCTGCGTGCGCAGCAGTGCTACGTGAAACTTTTGCTTCTTGCATATGCATCGAATGGAATTTATCTACAATTTTGATATTCTTGAGAACACAAATTGTGCGATACTTATCATACTAGAACCTATAGCTGCTTGGCTAATCATAAACTGCTGCTGCAGTACCAGAATTAATATTTCGCGCTGCATACCAGATTTTGAGTTCTGGTACTGCCACACCAGCTACCTAGAATTTTTTTTCAATTTTGACCCTGGCCACAGGCACTCGGCAGTGGCACTTGCAAGCTGCGCATACGCTTACATGTAAACATACTGACAGCGCTACAGAATGCCATAGAAATTATTACATTAAGGCCAGCATAAACCTTCTTCAACGAAATTTAAGCTTTTTGAACATTTCACTGACATTCCGTAGCCTCATAACATTCCATGGCATGTATAGCATTCTACTTGAGCAAAACCCGGCAGTCAAATTCTTTCTAACAGACAGCTAAACAAATCCCATCGTTGAACCCTCCTCTTGAGGCCCGTCAAAAGGTTATCCGACACTTACTCTTCGCCATGTCAGCAGAAGGGACATTTCATGCGTCCTTTCATGAAGCCTAAAAAAAAAAAAAAAAACAAACAAAAAAAAAACCCATAAAAATGCTAGCGTCACGCTGAAACAAAAAAGTGGGTTTCCGAATCGCTCCGTCAGACCATGTCCTCAGAAAATGTCTTAAAAATCTGCCCTGTGCCCATTGACCTTTGACCTGTGACCTTCCAATCTCCGCACAGTGATGGCTTTCCTCCTACTGAGTGGATGGGCTATACTACCGACTATTCACGAGCCTAGGTCGAGCCGTTTAGATTTGTGGCTGCACATTCTGCATTCTCCTCCGGCTATACGCTTAAGTTAAGGAGTGAATGTTTATCCGTCCTTTCTTTTAGCACCTCTTGACCTGTTGACCTTTGACCCAGCTTCGAGCATCCCAACTGCTGGGTTTCGACGATCCCCCCAACGACTCCGAATATCGTGACCGTACATCGCAGCGGTTAAGATTTGTGCCAACTGTTGACGGACGGACGGACGCACGCACGCACGCACGCACGCACGGACGGCCGGACGGACGGACGGACGATCATGCGATTCTACAAGCTGCATCTGACTACGTCAGATGAGCTAATAAATACTATACTGTAAGTATGAAGGTTCAAGTATTAGTAAAGTTCGCCCTTGAGACGTGGCAAAAGCTATGAGAACCTGTCAGGGCTATCAGAAGGCAAAACCTCGCTTATTGCCATATCTCAACTATCTTTGCCAAAACCAAGTTAGCTAACCCAGTGGTATCACACCCCATACTCCATAGTAATAACCCAGGAGTCCTGTTTCAATATGTGTTCAAAAAGTATAAGTGGTTGCGCAAAAAACAGGCAAGTACATGTAGCTTAAGAGATCACGCAACAAAAATGTCTACATTTTTAGGAAGACCACTTGAAACCTTTATAGGAATATACGAATAATACGACCTGCACTTTTGTCAGCTTTGTAAAATCTACCTTATTACCTAACTACCATTTATAACCATCTTAAATTACTTTCAGTTACTAAATATTTTATTACCTTTAATTACCTTCATGTATTATAAAATGCAGTTTATATTTTAGATCTTGTACAACACACTACCTTTTCGTGTCTAATAAGCATCTGGTGTCGTTGGAGGAAGAAGACATCCTTCAGCTGTCGCCTAGCCAGCTGGTGTTTCTCATGTAGCTGTCGCTCTTCTAGCTCCCAGATAGCGGCCTCGCGAGCTGCGAAAAGACGTTGCCGCGGTTACGTGGGTGTACGGCGAATGCAGGAGAGGAGAGGAGTAAGAGAAGAAAGAGGAGTGAAGAGGAAGGGGTTACCAAAATGACAAGTGCGAATTATGAATGGAGGAGAGGGGAAGAGAGCGAGAGGGGCAGAAAGAAGACAAGAGAAGTAGAGAAAAGGAGAAAGATAAAAGAAATTCACGATTACACGCATGAAAGCTGACACCAGAGAGCAGGGCGCGAATTAAGCGACGAGAAGGGCAAGGCAATTTGTTTAGGGCATGTGAGAAATCGCCTTGAATTTTCTCCTGCCAGAGAGGGGACAGAGTGTGAGACGGATAGAAAAAGGCACTTCAGCGGTTACAAGTGTGAAATGCATACAGAGAATTTGGAGAAAGTGAGAGGAACAGAAATATGAGAACTGCCGATAATAAAAGATGTTTCCGTGGTTACATGTGTGAAATGGGGATGAAGAAAAGAAGAAAAGACACAAGACTACGGAAGAAAGCAATCAGACACGTGTTTCAGACTTACCTCTAAGCAGCTGCTGCTTTTGCTGCAGAAATTGCTTCTCTAGCAGTGCGATTTTCTCCCTGTGTTGGTCAGAGAGCCGTTTGAGGGTGCTGTCATGATCTTCAGCCAGCTTCTCAATGAAACGCCTCTCCTGCAATAAATAAATATATAAATAAATTTAATTATTCAATTGTAAAAATTGAGAAAAAATATTTTTTGGCATTTTTTAACCACAACAACATAGACTCCCTGCATTATTGCAGATAATTAGTAAGTTTTTGCAATGAAAATAACAAATATGTACATTTTTGATCCAACACTAATAAGTAGGTTTTTGCAGTTTTAACAAACTAAAACATGCACGTACTCTTTCAGCATGTTCATTCTCCATAGCTTCTTTCCTCTTCTTAAACACCTCTTTCCGCTTGTCCTTTGGAATCATGTCTACCTCTGTCTTCAAGTATTTCATCTCCTGCTTCAGACTTTCGCGGAATGCCCTCAGAGCTTTCTCCTATTCAACGAAATCACAAGCACAGCAAGTGGATTAGAAACAGGCGGATTAGTTCAGCCACGTGTGGTCAAAGAAATGGCTTTTACAGTGAAGATTAGGACACACAGAAGGGTCTAAAACTCTGGCAAATAATCCAAAATATGAACTACTAACCTAATACTGTGGACAATTAATTAAGGTTTTGATTACAGCCAGTCTGCTACGACCTTAGTGGCAATAATACATGAATTAGATATTCTACACTAACTATTCTAGTGGCACAGCAACTATGAGGCACAGTTGCATCCTCACTAGGAACTCGTACTTGAAAACATCATAAATAGCAATGACTATCTATATATCTATATCTATACAGTCTAAAACGTAATAACTTATACTTGCAAGATACTTCAAACGTCATGTCACATTTCAGATTTATGTCATATCTATTTACAGTGTTTCTGACAACGGGGCCTGGTCTATCAGCGTTAGTCGATTGCCACACGTTCACACAAGTTGGTGTTGTATTCGGCTTAAATATGGTCATGACCATCATATCAAGATTCTGTGGCAAACGCGACCACCAGCACACGCTCGTCCTTGTCACGCCGCTCAACCATGACAATGGCACCAGCACTAGTGGCAGGTACCTGTTCGGACTTGATATTCCGTGAGGTGTTGCGCAGGTCCATTGCCTGCACCTGCTCCGCCCGCTCAACCTGCTGCTTCTGCTGCCTGTCCAGAGCATCGAGATCATTCTGATAGTTCTTCACCAGTCCCTGGAATACACAGATGAACAGTATGTAGATATTTGGCATCGGTAATAACCAGTCCTGGACCGTTTCTACTGATTTTACTGCAAATGTTGAAGTCAATGCAATCTCAATAAAAATGAGAAGATTGAAAATTCGTATAAAATTAAAGACGCAGAGAACGATGGTTCACGGGAAGAAGATGCCTGCCCACTCTCGGGGAGTTCCTCCCCTTCTTCTTTGATCTGCTGCTCCTCACTTCTATATTCCATCCGCGAAGGTTCATGCGGCACACTCACCTGCATGTCGCTATCGCTCTTCTTCTCCTGCTGCTCGCGCATGAACTGCGCCTTGTAGGCGAGGTCCTGAAACTGCTTCTGCTCCTGCTTCTGCAGCAGCTTCAGCTCACGCAGCTCCATCTTCCTGCAATATCACGAACCAACACGCTCGTCAGCACGCCGCGGTGGTGGCGCCCCCACGACGATGGAGCCTCTGTGACGATGGTGGTGCCCCACAGTTCAAACACGTGGCCCACGCAACTGGCTATTCTAGTCGTAAATATGGAGTAGGAGCTTGCTGTTTTAATTAAGTGGGCTTTTGGTGACTATAAAGAGAGTTTACGAGCAGGTTAACTGGAGTGAGATCTACATAGCATATTATACAGTGAATAATTTACACGTTTTAAAATTATGAATGCTAAAGGACACTTGAACTTGAAAATAAAATCTATGTGGGGCTCTAATGTGTGTTATCATATATTAGATGTTATTAAAATGCAAGTTTATTGGCACCCTTACAATATATCCACATAGATACGATACTTTACAAACCTGTTTAACTTTTCCCACATCAAGCTGCATGTTTAAATACAATAAAGCGTATTTGATCATTGAAAATATAAATAAAAAATCAATATGGTGTCAGCAAGAATGCAGAGGAGGAAGTGATTTCCCACATACACACATGCCCTTCATGCCAGCATGGCATACTGGTATTTAATACAAATTCCACCACCACATGACTTGAGAATTAGTTACAGAACACAAAAAGTACTGCTGATACGTAACAGGTAAAGACCACATGGTGAAAGCTAACAGTTGTCGATGGCTCACCTAAGCGCATGGTCCTCCTTCTGCTGATTCTTGTCATTCGCTCCAACAATTCTCTGCGTCGTCGTGGTAACCATGACACCATCGACTAAGAACTTTCGTGTTCGCTTCTGCGTGCGATAACGACTTTGCTTCCTTCGCTCTGCAACTATGTTACCATCTCCACCCTCTTCCTGCAACATACATGCAAAATTCCATCGCGCCATTCTACATAAACGAACCGGAAAAGCAGAAACTTTACATGACAATGTATAGGAAAAAATTTGGAAATAATATGTAAACAAAAACCTTGGAATCTTTTTTGACAACGACGAGATGCGACACACAGCACCATAATAACCCTCAACGTCACACAATATTTTTAAATGACGATAAAAGTACAACCGATGCTTATAACGACGGCTTAAAGACGAGCGAACGAACAAGAAACCAGTGACCCAACGTCAGAAACTATCGTCACTCTGGGACGTCGTAGTTTCCGCACAACAATCTGTGCGGAAAAACAGAGCGACATCTCGTGACAATTTCTGACGCCGATGCTGCCGGGGTATTGTCACTCGAGGTGCACCTGCTGCTTTGAGTCCAGACTGTCGGAGCTGTCCTGCGTCTTCATGCTGGCCGTCTCCGAGATCTTATCCAGCTCTTGTTTCAGCATGGCCGCCTTCTTGCCGCCGTCCTCTGCCGCCGCCCGCGGTGGCGACTTCTCTCTTGGTCGCTCGCCAGGGGGCGCCGCCTCTGCCGCCGCCCGCGGTGGCGACTTCTCTGGCGACGGCGTCTCGCGGTGGCGCCCTCCAGTGGCCGGCTCGGGCGGCGCGTGGGCGCTCGCGTCCAGCGTAGTGTCGTTGTAGTCGACCGTGACCTCACCATCTTCGGCGTCAGGCTTCAGCGTGACGTCTGCCACGGCGGCGGCAGTCTCGGATGGCTTGACCTGTTCGCCGCTGGGGGTCGAATCGTCGAAGTCGTCCTGGAAGCTGAAGGCCTCGTCGATCGCCCGGCTCACGTCCTCGTTCTCCGTCTGTGCGCGCAAACACAAGAACGTGCGATGTAGGCGCGGATGCACGAGAACGTGCAATGTAAGCATGGAACACACAACAGGAATGTGTGTACAGAAATACAGGAATGTGTACACGGAAACAAATGTGGACGGAAATACAGGAATGTGTGCACAGAAACACAGGAATGTGTGATGTACGCAAGAAACACTGGAAAGTGCGACATGCATGTGAAATACAGGAATATGTGACATACACATGAAATACACAACATGTCAGCAAACATGCCAAATACAAAAACATTTGCAATTCTTTTGAGATCTTACGAGTTGCGAGTTACGACAAGCAGGCTTTGTAACGATTCCTATTGCTCGTAGCAATTCTTACACTATGTAACAATTATGACACTTAGTAGCAACAGTGTGCAACACTACTCATAGTCTATAACAATTTTCATTGTGTACTTCATCATTAAACATCAGTTTACATTTGGTTCCACATCTTAGGGGGAAATGATTAACTTTCCACTGGCATGTGTCAGTGATAAGGATACAGTATACAGCAAACAAATTTGACAATGAGTTTTTAATTTTCATTTTAAATTGGTTTCAGAATAGAGGAGGATGTGATTACTGCACATTACTTTACCTTTGTGGATAATTCCTCCTCAGATTCCTCCTGTGCTGCTTGTTTGCCTGGTGAAGACGAAGCCATTGCCGCACCACTAGTGTACCCTACACCGCCCGCTCCGTCTGTGATGCTCACAGTCGTTCCATCTGTGCAACGCAACAACAAAGATCTGCTGAATCGCTGAACCAACTTGCACACTCACTAATATCGTCTGTGATTCAACATAATTTTATATTGAAGCTAATCTATTTTTTGATTTACTGTAATACTCCATGTTAGTTATATGAACAATTCTGCTAGAGGATATTAGAAATCAGTCCTTGTGAGGGAAAGCACGGAACATAATTATTTTTAGCAGTTCACAGTTCAATGACAAGAGGACAGGTAAGTTTCTCTGTGTTACTGACTGGCCTATTCACAAACTGTTGATATTTCCATTAAAACAATACAGACAAATGGCATGCATACAAGCTTTGCCAACTATTCAACCAAATATCTCAAAAATTAACAGTTTCTGTTAAAATATCTCGACGAGTGGACAGCAACCCTGGCAAGCGAACCTTTATCACTTGAAATTAAAATCAACTAGCATTATTAGGTGTTAAGTAGGAGTGTGAAATCGTAAGGAAGAAAAGCACATGTGAAATCGCAGCAATATAACAGTGCATATGAGATCACTTCAATATAATCGTGCAGATAACAATACTACAATGTAACTGAGTCAGTGACATCACCCAAAATAACCCTAAAGATGTGATCACAACAATGTAACAGTGCAGATGACATTCCAACAATGTAACAGTGTCAATGCCAACAGACGATTAGTCGCAAATCATGGCATGCAATGTGACAGTGCAGATGTCATCGCAACAATGTGACAGTGTAGCATTCGTGCTATCAGATGTAACAGCATTGATGTCACAACAATGTAATTGTGAGATGACAAAATGAGGTACTTGCGCGATGTGATCAAACCAATAAAATTGTACAGATGTCATCACAACAATGCCACCATACAAATGTAACAGAGAAATATTTATCACAATGTGACGGCCAGATTAACAGTGTAACAGTGTGGATGCCATCACAATGCTTTACTGCTGAAGATGACATCGCAACAACATAACGGTGCAGAAGACGTCACAACAAGTACAGCACAGGGGAAATTACAACAAAGGACTGATACGCTTGCCATGGCAACATGATGTATGCATGTGGTTAAATGGTTATGTTAATGAGAGACTTACGCGCTGCTACAAGCTAAGCTGTGATCACTAGTAGATATATGAACAACTACTAGCTGTAGAAGATCAGTCATCTATGTTAATAGTTAGTGTAATGAAAGCAACTACAGTGCAGAAGGCAATCCTATGCTAAACACTAGTAGCAACTAGTGTGCAAAAAATCAAAAACAAAGATAAGCTATAGGTGACAGAATCAAAGCGATAGCTAAAAGAAAACGCATACGCTACATGTATGCCATCCAAAGCCACACCAGTGAAGCAGACAGACAGTGTCAAGGGTTGCAGGGTTCACCCTGGGATGTCAGCGCATAGTAACGTCAGTGTCCACCAGCCAATACAAGGGTGTGAAGCCAAAAAACCGATAGCGTCAAAGCAGGCGGTTGCCCCCGGCAACAACCTGCTCCCAACGATTACGAGAACGCCGCAAGCGAGTCAGGACCCCCCGACAACGCCCCGCATCGTATTCGCCGAGTCCGCAGCGTGCGCCGGAGACAGAGGCAGAGACAGGCGCCCGCCCCCCACTCGCAGCAAACTCACTAGGGTCGTCACCTGCGGTGGCGGCAGATGCTGCCTCTGCCGCGACGACGTGCTCCCCTGCGCCGTCGCTCTCCAGTATGACCTCCTCAGGGAAGACATTCTCCGGAGAGCTGCTCCGGTCGTCGCGCCTTGCGTCAGCCTCCCTCTCCTCCTCCTTCTCCTCCTCCTCCTCCTCCGCCTTCTCCGCTTTCTCCCCGGGAAGCTGCTCACTGGCTGTACATGTGAGACAGAACACAGGTGTCAGAGGTGTCAAGTGTCTCCCGTCCACACTCACAACTCAGGGGTGCCAACGACGATGCGACGAAGTTAGTACGACGGAGGCGCGCTGATTATCGTGTCGCCCGGCTGACAGACGCAAGTTTATGTTCATGGACACATAATGGGGGCTCACGTCACTTTTCGAAATTACTTGCAAACTTCCGATCATAAACTCGCGGATACCAGTCTTGTAAATATCTAAATATACATTAAAAATACACCCGTTGTTGTCTGTTAGTATACACAGACACGTTACTATACATGCAACGAGCGGGTGTGAATTCTGCAGAGAGAGACAGGAGCAAACCACCATTGAAACCATATCATGTGTGAAGAGCCTTGCAACAGACCACAGTATACAGAGTACACTGCAAGATACTGTAGTGTGCAGTGTTACTGTGAAACACATCCTATTCTATCGGTTCCTTCAAGAGCTTCGGTAATGACATAAACGTGCACGTGTTGCCATGGCAACTAACACAGGGAGAATGTTATGCTGGTGCAAGTAAATGTGGGTACAAGAGCCTCGTAATCAGTCATTTGAAAAAATCAAGCACTGATTAATAAACAATGAAGGATGAAACAGGAAATGACATACAGCACATAAACATACACACACACATTTACATGTATACATTTCATGTACGTGAGTGCATGAATTTGGCATTGTAAATTCGACATTCTCAATTTATTCATATCTGCATGCATTCAGGGCAATATTCGTGTGTGCTTAAACAGACACACGCACTGACAGACAAACACAGAAACATGCACGCACACAGACACAGACAAATGCAGAAACATGCACGCACACAGACAGACAAACGCAGAAACATGCACGCACACAGACACAGACAAACGCAGAAACATGCACGCACACAGACACAGACAAACGCAGAAACATGCACGCACACAGACACAGACAAACGCAGAAACATGCACGCATACAAACATTCAACCACGCACGCACGCACGTACACACACACACACACACACACACACACACACACGATGAACGGTGGCTGCCCCACCACGTGATTCATGCTTGCGACGCATATATCAGCCGTCGTCAGTGCCTAGCTAGGTGCATGCTGCGGAACGCCACACCGTGCGTGAGACTGTGCGAAGGGCGCGGTGCACACACTGGCCATACTTGCAGCCGTTGTCGATATGCCCGGTGCTCCGCCGTTGTCGTCGGTCGCCACCGGCGCCACCTGTCCGTCGCCGCCAGCCGAGAAGTCTTCCGGCCGCACTTCGATCACGGTCACTCCTGACCGGTGGTCAGATGACTTCTCCATGCCGCGCTCAGGCACATCCGACGCCGCGTCCGCCACGCCCTCTGGTGGCACTGCCGTGACATGTGCCTCTGTTTCTGTGGTGCCCCCTGCTGGTGCCACATCCGTCGCCACCCGCTCCCCATCATCCCCCCACGGAGTCTCCTGCTCTGTGTGCGTCTCACTGAGACCTGTACGTGTCTCGCTGGTCTCAGCCTGCATCTCGCTGGTCTCTGCTTGCGTCTCGCTGGTCTCAGCCTGTGTCTCGCTGGCCTCTGCTTGCATCTCACTGGCCTCTGCTTGCGTCTCGCTGGTCTCTGTGCCTGCCTCTTCCTCCAACTGGGTCACCGGCGCAACGTCTCCCTGCACTTCCATCGCGAGTTCGTCTGCAGCAAAGGCGGGAACGTCCCGCACCTCATCGCCTGCAGGTGGCGCCGTTGGGCTCGGGTCCGATTGCTGCGATGCAGGCGCGAGTGGTTCGCTGGAATCTTGCCGGTCGCCCTCCTCCTCGTCTGGCCTCGTGGCGTTCGTCTGCTCGTCTGCTGCTACGCGGGCGCACAGACGAAGCGAGCCGATTACATTGCGCAGCTTAGCGCAGCGCGCCCCGGAGATGGCCAGCGAGGCACCGCACAGTGCAGCACAGAGGATCACAGTGCACATCTCACCGGATCCTGCTGTGCAGCACAGGATAACGCGACGCGCAGTGCCTCGCCAAGTACTGTGCAGCACGGTGCCTCGCCAAGTACTGTGCAGCACAGTGCATTGCTAAATACTCTGCAGCACAGTGCCTCACCAAGTACTGTGCAGCATGGTGCCTCGCCAAATACTGTTCTGCACAATGTCTCGTCGAATTATGTGCAGCACGTCACACTATAGTGCAACAATTTAGACTGCACGATGGAACACGCAATGTGACACTATGAGATAACAAATGTGATACTACAGGGGGCAACTTCACACCTGAGCGCTGGTGTCTCCGCCCAACGTTCGACACTCACCCCACAAGCTTCTGCACTGCGCTCTGAACGAATAATGAGCCGAATAAATCGCACCCGACACTACATGCACACCAGCAACGTAGCAACACCTGCGCGTCAACCCACACAGAAGCAAAAATTTTATGCAGGGGGGTTACTGCTCACAGTGAACGAGAATAATCACAGCTGGATACACATGTTGCTGCAGTTAGCCACACTTAATTAGTCGGTTTAATGTGATGCTACGGTACTGTATTTAGCTCGCTGCTAGATTCAGACGCCAATGTTGTAGTAACATTGATAGGCAGCACCGCAACTACTTTGCTAGCAGCGTGAATTCCGCAGGACAGAAACAGAGAGCGCAGCGCAATGTGTGACGATAGAAAAATGGCAGGGCGACTCACCAGCGATCTCCACTGTAGATGCCATAGCTGGCTCCTCAACCGAAACAACTGACACATTTTCATCTGCAGCTGCAGCCGCCACTGGTTCGGCGACCGCCTTTTCCTTCTCTGTAACAGCCAAACCTACCATGTCAGTCACCATTGCCGCACTACAGCTCTTCCTTTTGAATGCCAGTATACAGTCTGCATGAAAAACTTTCACCCTCATTGGCCCAGCGGGACGGTAGAAATGTATAATTCACTTGCCCACACTAGGTTTTACAGGCCCGAATCAATGATCAATAATCAATCGGCGACAAACACGCATGGTGTTGACTAGTTACTTCCGCTACTTAAGATCGGGAATATGATGCCCTATCGGTAAATATTGGTAAATTTTCATACAAAATATCGGGAATTTCGGTAAATTCTCACACTGATCATCGCATAAAGAAGCTGAAATATCATTAATAGACCATTTACTTCATTTTTTTCCACTGGCCCATCGGGCTTGTTCATTTACCAGTTTCATTGGCCCCACGGGAAATTTACTGGCCTCGGATACCGGGCCAGTGGTTAATTTCGCAGACCGAGTATACACACATAATTCTGCTTAGTCTTCCATAATTACACTCTAATATGTTTACCTTCAAAGCTTCAATAGACATAATAAAAGCAATCACTAACACGACACTATTTGACCAATAATAATAATAATAATAATAATAATACAGAGAAGAAGAAGAAAGAAGAAGAAGATACAACATAAATAACAAGCACGCCATACCGGGTGTCCGACGCTGCTCCTGCTGCTTCCTTTGTGCCTCCATACGCAGCTGTGTCTGTACGTCTCTCTCAGACAGTGCAGGCGTGGGAGGCGCAGATGACACGTCACTGTCATCGTCCACCTCTGTCAACTCGCTCAGATTTGATATCGAGCCAGACTCGGTCAAGTTGTCAAATGACATCACCGACCCACGCTTTCTCGCTTCCTGCGGGGGGAAGACAAGCGAACGTGCAAAGCTATCACAACTACAGTGTTTGCTAGATGACTGAATGCTTTATTTTGTCAGAGTCTCTCACCGTATGTTAGTTTCAGTAACAGGTTAATTTTTGACAATTTTTTGTCTCCGTCACACATTAGTCTCTATATCACACTGTGTCTCGACCACTCAATAGTTTTTGTTTCAGTACTTTACAATTATTAAATTTTTTATTAGGATGACTACATCTATCTGCAAGAGGCATGCCCATTATTTTGCAACAATCGAACCTATGCACTAAAACCAGACATCGGTATTCTTCCTGACCAATATATCTCATTTCAACACTTCCGTAACACGTGGTATAGTGGATGACTCCCATTCCTCATCCTGGAAGGCCCACGTCATCCTGCCATACCGCGGAGTCGCTGCGTCTCACCTCTAGTGCCGACTGCTCATCTAAATCTTCCTCCTCCTCGATGATCTCTGCTTTCGCTTCAGCGATGAGCTCCCTTATAGGCTTGCTGTTGGTGACCTTAGCGAGGAACGGGTGCTGAAGCAAAGTGTCACCATTTAGTTACAGTTTATTAAAGGGCAAACGCATACAGTGATGGTCAGTTATTTTCACGCTTACACCTAATTACTCTACTTCCCAGCTCATAAGATGCACCGCCCCCCCCCCAAGAAAATGTCCCCTAAATCACCCAGCGTTGTATCACCAGATAACACATATACTAGTACTATCGATACCAATTATAGCATGTGACTTAATTATGGGGGCATCTTGTAAGCCGAGAAATTGGACGTGTACTAAGACATCCTGGGCTAGTATTACAGTATCCTATGCCCCAAAGCACAGTGTAAGGTGGTATATGCCATCTGCAGCCATTCTGCGTTTTGCGATGGCAATGGATCCAAGAGTGACTGTGACACAACAGACAGCACCATCCACATATGTTGCTACCTTCAATTCATCTGTGGAAGCTCTCGACATTATAAACATTAACATTATGGCAATATTATATATAATATAATATGAAAACGTATGCAAGAGTGACCGTGACACAACACACAGCACGTTCCTACCTCTAACAGTTCATCCATTGAGACTCAACATTATAAATATTAACACAATGGAAATACTATACATAGTAAAATATCACAATGGATGCAAGAGCGACCGTGTCACAGCACACAGCACGTTCCTACCTCCAACAGCTCTTCTGTTGAAGCTCTCAACATTGGCTCCTTCACCAAGCAACGCTGCAGGAAGTCTATGAACTCGGGCGACCTGTGCCATACGAAAACGTAACACTATTAGCCGCGCTCAATCATTGGCTTGCCTGCCACGCTTGTCTGCCGAGAGAGAAGAGCATCCGTCTGCTAATCTCATCGCCGGCACAAAATCCAACCACATGGGACCACTCGTCAAGATAAACGAATTAGCCATCCCTTTATTCAGAAATTTATCGAACGACCTGCTCTCCAAATCATTGGATAGCCAGATGCATTATGGATTTTACCCTCAAACGTTTGGTTTGGAATCCTGTTAAACTATTAGAGATTATATTTCAGTGTAATACTCGATTCTATACTGTTTCTTCATGCAAAGTGATTATACAGACTGATACAATGGAAGATTGCAATACACTATGTACAGAAATTTGAAAGAAACTTCTGGATTCACTTAACCAAAAAAATATTCCATGTGAAAAGTTGGAATTGCTTGCTTTGGCAACAATAGCAATAGAAATGAAAACAAACTTATATGGCAACAGAATTTGCCTATACTACAATGTTAAAAGAAAGAAAAATATAATAAATTGAGAGCTATCCAAAATTTCTAAATCATGTTATGGCACTCCATGCACGAAACATTAAAATAAACGACGATCTGGTGGGTTGAATGCACACGTACGTACCATTTGCTGGGATAGTTCAGAGTTGGTGGGTCAGACTTCTGTATCTTAAACAGAACGCGCACTGGGTTCATCTCGTGATTCGGCGGTTCCGACTGCGCGAATTCGATGAGCGTAATTCCTAAACTCCAGATGTCTGCCTTGTAGTCGTACAGGTTTTCCCTCATGGCTTCACATATTATCACCTCTGGCGCCATCCTGTGAGTGAATGAAAGTGTCAATGGCACTGTAGGTCACCACAAAAAAGAACACAAATGAGTGAGTAAGAAGAAGTCAGTTTTAATGATGAGCGAACCATCGCGTATATTATAGATAAGCGATGCCATGCTGTATTATCGCAAGTAACATTATTAAACCAAAATGAATCACGAATTTGTGACGCGTAGATGCGCGCTATACCCGCTTTAGCGATGGTCGTTTTGAATAAATAGTTATGCTGCGTCGGCGACAGTGTTTTGTGTAATCTTTATCTAATATAGAGGTTTTAGCGCGCAGGGTGGAGAGAAGGGAATACCCAATTTGCTTAAAGATATTTGTCAATGAAAGCTTTGTAAAAAGAACCCAGACGATGTGCGACACCACAGGACTGTTTGGTCTAATATAATTATGCTATAGTAATGTGGCAAACCCTACCCTAATTTGCATAATTTTTTTTAAATATGAAAACCCTGCTAGCCCCTTATTCAATTCACATACCAAAAAATGAAAGCAAAAATCCGTGAATACCTGAACTGGAATAATGGACAATCCATCATTTGCCAAAAAATTGCTGTGGCTCGAAAGTACGTTGACTGCGTGCTTCAAAATAGGACAGTTTTAAGGTATGGAGAGCATAAGCAGTAACAACTATACCCAATTTCAAACAGTGGCGCCAAGAACGATTCCTGAGTTATCGTGTTGACAGAAGCGAAAATGTTGGGTCGGACCGGACGGACGAATACGACGACCCATGGCATAGCTCAGCTTCGACGATGCAAGGTGACGCTAATAAATTGCAACTAACAATGTCTCGCTTTCGCCATTTCTCTACGAGAACTCTTACGCGTGATTAATGACAACTCACTATATTTGAGTAAATGCCATCATTGATTAAGATTGGTTGAACTATGTGTATTGGTGAATGCAAGTGAAGTTTAAAGGTCGTGCTTTCATGCCGAACCAAGCAACCGTGGCCATCCATTTTTACAAGAGCCTAATCAGTCCATGGAGACAATGTCGACTGATTGTCACAGTTACCAATAAACAAGCTACCAATCATGTTATTTCACTACCTACGTAACAACAGCAATAGCAAGTTTACGAGTATGTAATTTCTGTAACTCCTAGGCGTCGACCCTACTCCCCGCCCGCTCCCCCAGGCATGATAACAACGGGGATGGGGAGCGGGTAGGGGGAGGGAAGGGGGGACTATGTGGGGAGGGGGAGCGGAAACCTAGGGTAGGGTACGGGGGCGTGTGGCGAAGAAGATTTTTATCCGGTACGAGCTTAATGTTTTATAATGGCTGTAAACATCGCCACCTACCGTTACGACTAATTACGTAGCGTTAAAAAATCGCTCCACGCACCAACCATAGACGGTTATTCTGGGTTCTTGTATATATAGATATGCCGAGTGCGCTTGTACCGGGTCACAAATTCAGTGACAGAGCTAACTGTTGCATTGTGCCGGTTATGTCTTGCTGTTACTGTCTGTCAGTGCATGCGTGGTACGGTTACAAAAACAAGCGGCGGAATGTCCTTCCTGAACGGCTCGAACGACAATTTCTGTGACGCATCGATTCCCGCCGCTGGCAAACCTTTTACTTGGGTCGGAATTTTAAAACGGGCGCGGAGGTAATTTAAAGCGGAGCCTCGCATACGATTTTCAAACAGGGGGGAGCTTTGCCCACAACGCGGGCAGGCGCGGCGCCCCGTATTGGGCAACGTAAGCAGAGAACCCGACTCGAAACAAGCCTAACTACAAGCTTATGAGGTGTTTCAGTAACTGCATGACAGCTAATAAAATCTTACCAGTATGGTGTTCCAATAAATGAACCTCGCCTCTGTAGTGTTGACACATTTTTGGCAGACACTCCAAAATCAGCTGAAATTATATTATTGCAAATTGTTGTCATAAAACAATTATACAAATACTTCCAAACATGCCTTTTAGTAGGCAATGCATATGAAAGGTTTCCTAGATGAAAAACACATTTGAAATAAAACAATTTATTTAATTTTTAGGTGAATTATTATTTGAGTACCCCTTGAGTCCAGTATAAAATAAAGAAACCGAAAACAACAACAACAACAACCATCCGTAATCAATAGACAATCTTTCCCTAGCTTGCTCTAACTTTCAACAGTCAACAGACACACACTGCACCAAGCTTGACTTGATTGCATAGAGTTTGTTGACCATAATTTTTTAACATCTTGTGTTAACAGATTTACACTGTATAAAACTTGAACTAACAGTCAAAGGTCAACAAACCGCACCTAGTTTAACTTGACCATCTAGGGTCAAGAGGACATTGCCAGCTTTCAGATCGCGGTGGATGACTTTCATCTGGTGCAGGAACTTGAGAGCGACGCACATCTCCCGGCAAATGTAGCGAATCTGTGCTTCCGTTAGTGATTTCTCAAGCTCAATCATAATATTGTCAACTGCACCACCCTCACAGAACTCCAGCAGAATCTATAACAACATATCAGACACTCACAGAGATGCAGTACCATCTAGCATATAATAACATCTCAAATAACGTTGACCAGAGCTCAGACAGGGAGTGCCATTTAACCTATCAAACAACACGTCACTAACAGTGGCTAGAACATGTTCTGAGATGTATAGCCTCTATGATTAAAATCAATGAATCTAAAACATTTAAATACATGACTGCATATAACCGAGCTATGACACGCAGTGCCTTCGAACACAACAAATTACGAAAACCATCTACTGCTGTAATGACAAACAGCAGCTTTCGATGCTCTAACAACAGTAGAGCTAGAGCTAGCGTATCTTACATATAAATTATAATCCATCCTATGACAATCACTGGATACGATTGATTCAATTCATTATTTTTCTTGAGTACATTTACATAAATAACTTTTTCCTAATGATCACACACATTATCACATCAGATAATACAATAATTCCCTGAAGCCTACATGCCTACTAGGGCTGTAACGATACACAAGCCTCTCGATTCAATCCGGTTCTCGATATTAGCCTCTCGATTCGATTCCTTCGATTCGATTCCCAAAATATTGAAATGTTATCTTATTTTTTATATTTTCATTATTTTGCAATAATAAATTATTAGAAATTGCCAATAAATACTAAATGGTGAATAGGCTAGAGAGTCCAGAGAGTATATATCATAGAGATGTATACTATTTATACATCTCTATGGCATATATACACTGCACAGTCGCTGAGTAAAATTGGTGAGTAACACTCCACAGTATATAGCGTAGTGCCGCCATCTATTGAAGGAAAAAAGTGGTATCAAAGTGGAATCGAAAATACGGGGAAAAATATCGAGGATCGGATCGAGGGAAGAGAATCGCGATCCGATTCGATTTCGGTGGATCGTTGCAGCCCTAATGCCTACCCAGAGTTGGTTGTTGAAGTAGAAGGACTCATGGAGGCCCACGATGTTATCGTGCTGACATTCCGCCAAAATATTGATTTCGCCAAGGAAATCCTCAATTTCTTCTTCTCCATGCAGATCAACAATTTTGGCAGCTGCAAATATATTCTGCTGCTTGTGTTTCGCCTGAAACAAAATAAAGAAACGAGTGATTTTTGTGTGCCAAGGTTTAAAATTAAATTGCACTTTCAGGGTGCGAAATTAACGGGAGTCCGGAGTCAAATACTCCTTGATTTACTGTCGGACTCCCTGATTTGACATATATGCAGGAGTCCGTGTGTGACTCCCTGAAAATTCGGCCATAATAACTATAGTTCGTTTCGGAGCACGGCCTCGAGGAATTGCCTTATTTTTTTCAGCTAATGTCCAAAGAGAATTTGGCAGACGTGCAACCACATGAATCTTAATAATAAGCACATGCGTTATTGTTAATTTCTTTAATTTTGAACCTCAGACTGCGGACTTCCTCATTTTGCTGCGGACTCCCTCTTTTTGAGTCCGCCCGTTGGACTCACGTGTTCAAAAGTTAATTTCTACTCCTGCACTTTACAGTAGCAAATACATGCGAGTACATGTATGTAAAGTGTTTAGTAGCCGCATTAATTAACAAGTATTATAATATCACAGACCATACAATATTAGAGTAAACACATAATGAATTTACTAGTATAATGTGTTTATTTTCGCAATCTTTAATCGAATGCGTGCATTCATATATATACAAATCCTATAATAATTTATTATAGAATTTGTATATATATGAATGCATGCATTCGTACACGAACATGCTTATAAAACCCCCAATGAATATTTAACATTTTATTAAATGAAGTGATCAACTAGCATTTCCTTGTAAATTTTATGTTATTTCAAGCTTCCTGTAAGAGTTGGCAACGTAGAAATAATAACATAACGGTATGTCTAGAAGTCTATGTATAATTCCTTGTCGGACTTCCTTGAAATCAATTCCCAACTTTCAATTGTTGCAGTAATTTACTAGTACACTGACTCCGACACTGTCTACATAATGTGTTTGTACATGTATGCATCCTAAGCCGACGCACGCGTTTCCATACAAACCACTTTATTATGCATGTGTCATTAAACAGTGACCCGCACACTTTCACTATCTATTTCACCCACATCACAGTGATAGTGACTGCAGATACTGGTAGTCACTATAGCTAATTACAGTCGACAGCTGCTATTTACTTGGCCTACATTCATAGATTTACAGCGGACTTCTTTTATAGTTCCGTACAGAATCCACTGTAAGTGTAATTCACAGGTGACAACAGCAGGCTGCTGCTGCTGCTGCTGCTTTAGAGAGAACTGAGTCTTCCACGAATTCTGACGTTAGAGACCCGGAGCAGTACAGCGCACCACGGCTCACTTACTGCCTGCTTAATAGTTATAGCCTCGGGCGTTCGCCAAAACAGGATCACGCAGCGCGGCAGTTCCGCGAGATGATATAGGCGCGGACTGCCACCTCTCTGCCATCTCTCGAGTGCGAAATGCAATCTATAGATATCCTTGGCGAAAATAGCAGGCGGGCACAACCCGCACGCGTACGTCCGCACGCGCATTGTCAATCTACGAAGATAAATCGAGTTATAGGGAGCGCTGCTTGCAACGTCCCCTTCCCTCTTCTATCTTGAGATGGGATCATTGATCGATACATTGATGAAAGCCGTGCCGTGTGGGAGCAGTGACACAAGTGTTCGTTGTTACGCTGGGCATTTCACAGACTCATCCCTTGACGGTCCAGTCAAAGGATATTTATAGTGCCACGCGAGCTAGAATCTCCAGGCAACTAACGCTGACCTGTAATCCTCTTTCCTGTTCTACTTGAGAAGAAGCGATGTGTATCTATCAAAGGCAACACACTTCTCTGATATTTGAACAGCATTGACACATTTAATCACGGGTGGCAGCTCCCAATGAAATACCAAAAAAAACCTCCCTGGTTCGATCTGCAATTTCTTCACGAACACTGTCTCGAGAAAGAAAGCGTGTGTAACTACTACAGTCTACAATCTCGGGATGAGACCCACCTGCATTTTCCCCTCAAAACCATTGAAATCATAGAGGTTCACAATATTATTTTGCACTTCAGCATGATTGTGGATAAAAGCACCTGTTCGGCAGCAGCGTGTTGGCCATGGGACTGATGCACATGACATACTACAGGAAACAACATCGCTGACAGTGAATAAGCCAGGTTTCAATTGTGCACAGTAATCACGTGATGGCCTTGGTCTGAATTTCCAGTGAACACCGGTCTGAGTTAGACTTAGACTCGAAAGTGGAGCAGTTACAGCTCTGCCTCCTACCACACTGCTATGGTTATGGTGCTCGCAACTTTTAAACCAAAATCTTCAAGCAGTTTGTGAAAATGTATTCAGCTTTTCGTCAGTTATGAACCCACACAAGATCAACAAGTATGACAATCGGCCACGGGCACAAGTTCACTGACCATCAAACTTGACACCAGTCCCAGGAAAAAAAATAAAAAAAAAATTTCGGGTGCTACTTTTCAAGCTCGCGTGCATGAAAATAGCACTCAAAAATTTGGTTTGCATTGAACTCTATGCAAATTTACGGGGGCTCGTTTTGCCATTTCCGGGGCTCTTTTTGGCATTTCGGGGGCTAAATCGCCCCGAGCCCCCGTGTATTTTTTTCACTGACCAGTCCAAACAATATATTCAATTTGGTCACATCTACATGCCTCCATACATTATTCGCTTATTGCCTGTTTTCTGCTCGTAGCTTTTTTTCTCTGTCTAAATGGCACACCAGTCCGCTAAAGCACGAATGTCAATAATTGTTTATGTTAATGAGAGTGCATTGCTCATAAGCAGTCTGGTGTTTTTCAGATCACAGCATGTTCATAAGCAGCAGATGTTCGTGTTAAATATTCAAGCTCATGTTGAGATGAGTTTACCATGTACAGTATTAATGGTTATCTGATGTTAAATGTTAAAATTACTACTCAGGTGACATCATGGGTATGAATGTTAAATTGACTACGTCACGAATTTTCTATGGTAAAATTTGGAAATTTTTGTTTGCCATTTTTTTACATTAAAAGTAAGAACTAACGGACTAAACTTATCGTCAAATTCTTACCTAAGATTGTTTCTCAACTAGTTAAAAATCTAAAAAACATGGACGATTTGATATTAGTGTTCCTAACATTAATTGGGCTATGGCTATGGGCTATGTATGCGTCACAAGTGTATGTTCACATCGAACAGTATAGTAAAATAAGAAGTATAATGCAGCAATTTAACCATAAAAAGTGAACAGAATTATTTATATTTTGAGAAAAGTGGAAATATTTTTTTTACTATTTACTGTGACGTAATCACTTTAATGACCTATCTGCGGCTAACCGTATTGTAGAGGTGACAATCGTAATGATTGTAAGTGCTACCCTGTTACTGTGAAGGAAGATAGTACTCATACATGTACAACATTATCAATACTAACAGCTGTCCATATTGCATTACAGTTCGGATGACATATTATGTAGAATGGTAATGAAAACTGCTGCCCATGACTTTGTTGAAGTTATGTCATACATGTTCAACATTACCAAAGATAACTGCTGTACATGTTCCACTTTGACTGGAAATGATGGACTGGTAATGATAACTGCTGTCAGTTTTTATAGGTGAAGTTAGATGATACATGTGCAACATTATCAAAGATAACTGCTATCCCTGCTAGAGTTGAGAATACATTCTCATGTGCACTATCAATGACAACCCCAACCAATGTTATAGTTGATACTGCGTCATGTACACTGTGGATGAATGATCAACTGACTATTCAGATTATATTCCATGTGACATCATGTATGATGCCCAACACCAGTTACTGTTTGTGTTACTGCATCACGCATGCCAACGCAGGATCTGCACCCACAATTCACACTATTTCTTATCTGAATGCTCATACAGTGCGTGTTGTTTTAATTCTGCAAAACAATAAACATTAATTAGTGTTAGAAAATATTTACAGCAGTCTTGCAAGGTGTAATGTTGAATGATGATTTGAACTGTTGTGAGCTCTACTCGAGGTCTGATCTAGCAATTAAATGTAGCAGAATAAATGTAAAACAAGAATCACACTACTCATTATAACCGGCACCACACTGACTTCTCCATGTCGACCAATGACACATCAAAACTTGCATAAATTGCAAAGTAGCATCCTAGCTGCGTGTAATTGTGAGTAATGTGAATTATAATAAATCATGTATTTAAAATAAAAATGTGAAAGGTGGCACTGGTACAATTGTAACAATGATTGTAAAATGTAACACAAGTGTTTTACGCATGTAATACAATTACTGAAATAGAAGTAGAGCTGAGAGGGTCTATGTCCACCAGGGTACGTTCCGGGTACCCTGGTACTATCTAATATGCCGGACCGTACCTCGCCTACTCCACTAACGAGTCTAGAGAGTCGCCTACGCCTACTCCCTAACCCTAACCATATCAAATAGTTACCAGGGTACGTTCCAGTATACCGGACCGTACTTAGGGTACGTTCCGGCAGTACCCTGGGGGACATAGACCCTATGTCTATGACTATGAGCAGAAGTACTATAGAAGTTCAAGTAGAAACACAATAAGGAAATTATAACAACAAATATATAACTTTATACCTACCTTGTACACTTTCCCAAACGCCCCATCTCCTAGTTCCCCTACAATTTCCCAGTAATCCTCCGGATCTTCCTCTTGTTTGATGTGTTTGAATAAATCTGCCCGCTTCTTCTTTTGGTCACCATTATTACCACCGATATTAAATATCTTTTTGAAACCACTGAAGAATGACATGTTGCATTAACTATACCAGTACCGTGTAAGAGTACGTAGATATGTAATTTCAACACAGTCGCCTGTTTTAGTCTTGAGTGTCAGTAATGACAGCAACTTCCACAAAGTCAAATACAGTGAGTCGGTCTTTCCAAACTCTATTTCTATGCACTGTCACTGTACGGTTGGCGTCCGCAATATTATTCTCACGGTGACTTAGTACCAACGTCAGAATCTCCTACGGTAATCATCTAAGTTATGGAACACATTACAAACACATTTCAATTTCGACATTTCTGTTAGAAAGACTCTGCTACACGAAATGTCTAACTTTCCTGTACTAAATAAAAGTTGACACAGGTGGCTGCCATTTTGTATTCTACCACGCCTGCTCATTGGTTGGGAGTGACGTCACAAGGTCACGAATGAGTCAACCTATCGCGTAAACCCGAGTGACTTCCCAACCTTCTGAGTGACTTCCCAACTTTCAAGGGTTACTGTGGCCCTACTTAGGCTACTATAACCAAAGGCTCATTGCTATAACGCAACGCAGCAACTCTTATTTTCTTTGCTTATGGTTTCTAAGAAGTTTCCACACATCTTCTTCATGGATATTTTTCCATTGCTCCATTTAGCCTCGCTTGTGGGGGAAGAAAGATTTCCCCGATTATATTCCAGCTTCGTTTTTGCGCGTGAGGCGCCCGGTATTCCCGAGATTCGATAATGGGCGGCTATCAATAATCGATGAAAAGATGTGCCTTCCGTAGGTCGAAGATTGAAGTCAAAGCATGATATTGTTAATTGTCTCTTTATCTATATGGGACCGACCCAAATTTTCCACATCCACTCAAAGTGCGTGCATACATGTATGCATGCGTATATACGTGAATCCAGTGGCGCCCGCAGATAGAAGATAGAAGCACTGGAAGCACAGTGCTTCCAGTAAATTTTGGGTTAGACAATTTTGTTCCTACATTTTATTCCTAAATCTCTCTCGCAAGACTCACCAGATGGGCATGCCCCCAGACCCCCCTAGCATGCAGCGCGGCTACGGCGCTTGCTTTTTATTATCACTGCATGAGGATTTTATCCTTCTGTGCTTCTACTTTCTTAAGACCTGGGGGCGCCAGTGCGTGAATCTATCATATTTGCACTATCGGGTATCGAGTCGTGTACTTCGTCGCTTAGCGGGCACGCACGCTGCACGCATGCAGGGTTATAAGTATGTACGGTACGGCTACGCGAGCATTGGTTGATTTAGTGTATAAATATTTTATTTTCAGAAACATGCAAGGAACGTATGATATAGTGCAGCGCACATATATCAATTATTAACAGCTGATATTAACTCATTATAAAGTCAGTGTTTTATTGATTATTGAGTATACGAGCATTTGCACGAGTTTGCACTTTAGTAAACCTGAAATACCTCGATCCAGTTGCATAGCAGCAGTGGCATGTACGCTCGGTCCCCCTATGTACACTAATGACAAAAACGCTGAAGAAATGAACATGGAATATTAGATTGATTTGACGTCTTTAATTGTAATTGTACTCTCACTGTCTGTTTAAACCATATACATGATATAATCGGTCAAATGCAATCTGATATTGTGGTATTGAGATTCTCTGCATGTCCAATAAACTTGATATTGATAGCTTTCCTTTAGAAATTGATCTCCCGAACGTAAGATTCACGAAACAATTTATTTCTATGCACAAGTAATTCCGGCGTTTCACGTAACCACATGCAAAGAATGTGATGGAGAATGATTTTTAATGGCTTTATGTCTTATATCTCTTATATCATGCCTATCTCTTATCGCGACGCGTTTGCGCGCGCTTGAGCGACATTTCAGATCAGCAGCGCATCCTGGTAGATGGCGCGCTGCGACGGTTTCCGGCCTTCAACTTCCTCTTTAAGCCATCATCTTGGAAAGTATGTAGAATGTTTGAATCTAAGTTTAAAAATCTGTCAACATCTCTGTTATTCGTAAAGGTTCTTTCATTATTTTATCAGCCACCGATGATAAATACATTCGTACTTGCTAAGAACTGTGCTATCACATATTTCCTCGATTTGTAATAGCAAAATTGCTAATAGTATGCTTGTTTATACTCGCAGCGGAAACATTACGACGTCGAAAAATTACCCACTCGTTCTTTGAAACTTGTATGATATACCAGCAACCTTTGTAAAACATTTAACAGGATGAAGTTCAACAACTGTGTATCTTCCTCGAGAAGGAAGAACAGGAAGCGACACTTCAATGCGCCATCACATATTCGTCGGAAGCTGATGAGTTCTCCTCTATCCAAAGAGTTGAGGCAAAAGTACAGTGTACGAAGCATGCCGATTAGAAAAGATGATGAAGTACAGGTAAGCATAATGGCATTCTTGTCCAAAAGCTTAATCTTCAAAGATTTCTTACATGTGTAAGGTACCGGTAGTTCTCCCACGCCACGGTTCTTTATGATATGTACGATAGAACTTTGTATCATATACCGGTAAGTCTACTAGTACTATGCACAATCCTAGTTTTGTGCCCTGGCTTGCATTTTCGCAAATGTGCTAAATTAGGATGGGGCCTTCTACTACAACAAAATAATCGATCCTGAGTGTCAGTCACACACTTATTTTATCAGTAAGTGTCTCTAAGTGCAATTATTAGTCGGTAAACAGTTTGACGTCTCTACCTGTGTAGCCGTTCTTTTGTACAGTCGCGTGGGATTGCATGCCATTGTGATTTAATTGTCAGAAGCTATGAAGCAAACAGAATTATAATTAAATTTTTTTAATGTATACCCGTACCCATATTTATACCTGTTTTACAGGTAACCCGCGGACACTACAAGGGCCAGCAAGTTGGCAAGGTTGTCCAAGTGTACAGAAAGAAGTTTGTTGTGCACATCGAAAGAATCCAGAGGGACAAAGCTAACGGTGCATCAGTTCACGTTGGCATTCATCCATCTAAGGTAACTGATTGTAATGGTTATGTATTGTATTTGTAAATCGATACAAAAAGTTACTAGAACTTATGTATGTGCAGAGCTGAACTGGCCTTTGCTTATTGTATCCCCCTAACGAGTTCGGGGGGGGGGGATACTATGGATTTGGCCTCGTCACGCCGCCGCCGCAGAGATTTCCTTGTGAGCGCTCTACTGGCTGCAGTTCTTCATGAATCATCTTCAAATTTTGCATGAAGGTGCGTTATCGTGAAGCGAAGACGCCAATCGTTTTTGGTGTGGGCGAAGTCATTGTTGCCATGGTAACATTTTTTGTCAAAATATTCTAGATCCTGTAACTTCTGCAGTTTTTACCCGATTGTCATGAAATTTGGCACACAGGACCAATATATACATATCAGGAGTAGATAATAAGGAAGGAGTGTGACATCAATAAACAAGGGAAATTCGTCATTTACTAGCCTTATAATACCTTTGATTTACTACGCGTAACTCATCCAACGAGCTCAAATCGTACACAGTACATGCGCCTAGCATCGTGCGAAATCGTTTCCTCGTATACACCAGCAATCCGGAGGTACAGACTAAAAGGTACGACACGATTATCCATTCTTTGGCCATCAATCTGAAAGTATTCCCCGCCGAACTTGCAAACAAAAGGCAGCTACTAACGCGCTGTCGCTCACTCGGCGAGGCGGTGTGGCTCGCAGGGAGATAGATTGTGGTGGGCGTGCGTGCGTGGGGGGCATACCAACTGTATGCCGGTATGCCGGGTCAAAGGTTATCTCGCCGAGTGTTGCGTCGATGTCCAATCTCCCAGCGAGCCACACCGCCTCGCCGAGTGAGCAACAGTGCGCTAGTAGCTGCCTTTTGTTTGCAAGTTCGGCGGGGAATACTTTCGGATTGATGGCCAAAGAATGGATAATCGTGTCGTACGTTTTAGTCTATATCTCCAGATTGCTGGCGTATACGAGGAAACGATTTCGCACGATGCTAGGCGAATGTACTGTGTACGATTTGAGCTCAAGTTGGATGAGTTACGCGTAGTAAATCGTAGGTATTATAAGGCTAGTAAATGACGAATTTCCCTTGTTTATTGATGTCACACTCCTGATATATATATAGGACATGTTATATCGGCCGTGTGTGCCAAATTCCATGACAATCGGGTTAAAACATCACAAGTTACAGGTTCTACAATATTTCCACAAAAACGATGACTCCGCCCCCACACCAAAAACGATTGGCGTCTTTGCTTTACCATAACGCACCTTGGCATCTTGGGGAGAAGGTCTGCACAGTACCAAAACCAGGTCACTGCGACCTTCATTTCACCTTTACTTTGACCTTGATAATATTTCCTTTCCACTCTGTAACTCGGCCCCTAATTCACCTAGCGCTACCAAACTTGGTATACTTACACATTTTGGAGACAAGGTGTGCAGAGTACCAAAACCAGGTCACTGCGACCTTTATTTCACTTTTACCTTTGCCTTGATCATATTTCCCTTCCGCTCTCTAACTCGGCCCCTAATTGACCTAGCGCGACCAAACTTGGTATGCTTGGTCTGTCGCATACCAAAACCACCACTGCCCTTGACCTTAGTTTGACCTTGACCGTCGACTTACATTTCCTCTTCGGCCTCCTAGGGTAACCAGATTCCATATACAAGTTGCACATCTGAGGCAGACCAGTTGTCTAACAAACCTTTGTCTTTGTGACTTATTTAACTTTACCTGCCTTCTACGTCCTTACAGCGATATTCCATTCATACTAGATCACGGGGCATACATGTAGTTGGCGACAACTGCTCGTTTCTAGTTTTAAGTCAGTTGTAACATTTTGTGGAATCCTATATTCATTAAAATGCTGTGCAAATAAAGTTGTTTGCATTTTTGTAACTAATATTTTAATGAGTTTTCTGCTACAAAGTTATTGTAACCATCACATTAAGACAAAAATTATCTGGGCATTGAACATGAATTTTGGTCCAACGCACTTATCCATGACAGATTTCTCTAATAGTACAAATTGATAATTTGATAATTGTTAATTTTGCAAATTAATAAACGAAATGCAGCGTTTGGGGATATTGGATGGAAAGGTGTCTCAGATCAAGTAAATATTCATAGCAGGAAGCATTACTGACATTTCAGATGAATTGTCGTGTCTGGCTATTCAGCGAGAGGCACTTGGAACGGAACCGTTGTCAGACTTGGACGCGTGTTACATTTAATCGTTTGCTTTTAGGTTGTTATCGTCAAGTTGAAGATGGACAAAGACAGAAAGAAGATAATTGAGCGTAAGGGACGCGCTCGCCAGGCAGAGAAGCTGAAGGGAAAACATACCGAGGAGTCTGTTGCTGCCATGGAAACATAATCTGTAATTGTATGTCGCTCGTAATAAAAAAAAAAAAACACCTTTCGTGTTCTGTTCATGGCTTGTCTATTATACCACTTGCAACATACACACTGTCGGATTTGAACACATTTGCGTATATTTCTGATAGCAATGTCACAGTGACAATTACATACTGGCAGTACTGACAATGTCTGCTTATAAGTCATTTCTCGCAAAAGGTGGCACAACCACTAATACCGTCCAGGAGGACGTACCCAATATAATACATTCTATATTGCTAATCTGATGTTTGGTTAATGGGCTCATGTAGATTTGTTTGCAAGTCAAAAACAAAATTACATCTACACTGTTATTATTTTGTTGGAATATATATGTATGTAAAACCACTTCAAACATTAAATTCAGGTGTTATTGAGTAGAAAGGCAGTAAGGAACTTGTGAAATAGGAGCAATTGTCAATCGGAATGGTTTTAAAACTGGTCTACATGTGTAGAGCTACATGCTTTACGTGAGTAGCACCCCTGTAATGTGATAAAAGAAGCACTGCGATTTTAAAGCGGAGTGGCAGTGTTTAGTGCTGGTAGTAATCGCCCTTAATATCAGAAACGAGGCTGGCTTGGTGTAATTTCGAAAAGGGTTGATATGTATTGTATCTGTAGTCATAAAGCATGAATATAAAGTCGCGTACGCGCCGTATTTTTAATTAATTTATGTTCGATGCTATCTATTGACGCCCGCTACTGCTGTACACCACATGATCTGTATATACTAACTGTTATCACCACTGCTCTCTATATGCTAATTGTTAGTATATAGAGACAGACCTGCCAAAGGTGTTCAACCTGATTGCTGGAGGTTCAGTTAGATTTTGCTGGAGAATGGGTCATTTTGGGGATATATAATGCTGGAGGTTTAGAATATTTTAAAACACGCCCAGTTTCTGAATATTTGGCTTTAAAATATGTATTTGCAGTACATATTTTCTGTTAGCATTCGAAGAAAAGAAGAAAAAAATTAATTTTAAGGCTATCTAAGTAACAGAATAAAATTTGGATTATTTATCGCATTATATATAATAAGGCGACTACTCGCGATACGCGCAATCGCAGGTAGTCGAATTTGTAAAAGATAGATGGCGCTACTATGTCAAAAGGTTTTTTGTTATGAGTTTTCTTTTATTTTACAAAAGTGCCTCAAGTGGTGACCTTCTCAAATTTTGAGAGTTGCCTTGGTGCCTTTCTATTTTAGAGAAAATTCAAGGCGATTTCTCACATGCCCTAAAAAAATTGCCTTGCCCTTCTCGTCGCTTAATTCGAGCCCTGGTAGGCCCCCCTACCCTGGCCTGGGGGACATAGACCCTATGAGCAGTACTACCGGCCCAAGGATAGAGAACATGGGTACCAATAAAACCAATGTGCTTGGCTAATACCCTGACCTTAACCCTAACCATAACCCTAACCGAACATATAATCAATATAATCAATAATATTGATGTAAATGACATTGGTTTTATTGGTACCCATGTTCTCTATCCTTGAACCCAAGTTTCTAGGCCCCTACTACTACTAGTCAATTAATGAATTATTCAATGTACGTACAGTTTTGTTTACAAATCGAGTAATACCATCGCGTAATTATACTTACTTTCAGGTACATGTACGGTTTTGGCTTACAGAGTCAGCATCCTGGATTTATAAACGCTCAACCCAGATTGTCAACTGCCAAATCAAAATATACCGCCGTACTGTACTAAATGTGATGATGTGATCAATCGGTCCCATGTACTAAACATGGGGGCATATTGTTTTGTACATTAAAAGCAAGACGATGTTGGTGTTACGGTGTAAGCTTTCAAGAGGTGGGTACAGGGGTTGTTACTGTACTTCCATTAGCGGAAATTTTACATGCCCCATTAATTGGTAATTTCAAGGCATAAATTAAAGGTCGAGGGGCACCAATGCAAATGCCCTCTAAATAATTTTGTATTTGGACAGTGCAGGTGCATACACATGGTATTTATGGAAAGGGCATAAGGCAAACCATGTATAGTGCAGCCATAACATTTTATAGCTATGGACATGGCCATTTTCTAGGTACTGCCCCAAGTAATAAGGGCAACCATGACATGTGCCGTTGGTACCGTACTGTAACCGTAGGAAAATTAAAACATTGTCGACCTATATGTTTTAACAGTCTAATGTACATAGTAGTAGCATAGCGAACGAAAGTACCTCATGGCTGAAACTTTTTGAAAGTGTTCCTCTTGCCCCATGTGATGCTGTGGAGTTCCTTGTGATCCTTCCAGATTTAACAGGTGTCCTCTGAAAATCCTTCTTTATAGTGTGTTTCGGCGATAAGCTCCCGTATTGTCTGATGGATTGGACACTCTCCTGCGAAGACCTCCGAATTGGGCGCTTTCTGGTTTTGGCCATCCTAATATTGTGTGAGCTGTTAGTGTCAGTTATCTACAAATAGCTTGATAATGAAAGTGCGAATACACTGTAGCTCAACGCACCAAAAAGGACACAAATTGAGTGCAGTAAGAAGAAGTCAGTTTTTTAATTTGAGCAACCAGTCGACGTACATGTATAGACAATGATGGCCATCTGTTAATGTGTATTTCACAATAATAATTTAATAAACCAGAAATGAGTATCACAGATTTTGTGTCCGTAGATGGCGCGCTATACGCCGCTTCAGCCGATGGCGCTTGAGGGAAATTAAATATGGTTAGTGCTGCGTTTGCAACATGTTTTTGTAAATCTTTACTCTAACTGCCCAAGTCACACAATAACACGACTGCACGGCCCGCCCTGCACTGAAAAATCAGCAATTTTGGCCAGTATGTCTGTCGTTCGGCTAGGGCTGTGCGTCAGCATTCGTTACTCGGCTTCGCTCGAGGAGCGCGTGACACTCCACGCTCATGCATTCGTTGTCATCTCGCTCGGATGGCTGTCCCGCCGGTGAGTCCGTAGTGGAATCGCGCGGCGTTGGTGCGTCGTCGGGTATTTTGAGCCGATGTCTCAAAATTAGAGCGGTCCGCGCGGCGGAGGCTCGACGCGGAGCGGCCGGTGCCTGCTGAAAAGGGGTCACCGCTCAGAAGGGACGCCAGTAACCCCCCCACGCGCATCCGCTCCCCGAACCCCCCGCCCCCGCCGCTGCAGGCGCATGGCACCAAGCGCCATGACCCTCCAACACGCCGCGGTCGCCTCGAGCACACGGCATGGGTATCCGTCTGTCCCCACTGTCTCCCACGCCCTCCTCGGTCGGCCTACTCCCGGTCTGCTTGACGCGAACACCTACGCGCCACCCTAGCCGGATACCTAAGCGCACACAG